AAATAGACACGGGGAGCAGGACAGAATGACAGAAACAGAAAAAAGGGATGGAGAGCAGGACAGCATTGGAGGAAAAAACCCAACTGTGATGGGCAGTGGGAGAGAGAGAGAGATGGGGAAAGAAAAAATACTGAGGAAGAGAGAAAGAAAAGAAGGGACAGTCAGCTGGACAGGGGGATACAGTTAGAAAGGATGGGAGAGGGAATGGGACAGAGAGAGAAAGATAGAAAAGATAGTGAGAGGAAGCAGGGCAGAGGGACAGCAAGAGGAAAAAAAAGGGAGAGGGATCTGGACAGAGATGGAGAAAAAAGCAGCAGGGACAGAGGAAAAGAGACAAAGAGTGACAGAGAGCAGGGCAGAGAAATTAAAATCAGGGCAGCAGCAGGATGAAGATGGAGAAAAAAACCTGGGATGGTCAACAGGACAGAGAGGAATACGAGTACGGGCAGGGAGCAGGACAAAGGGATATAGTGAGAAACAATGGAACAGGAAGCAAGACAGAGTGACAGACAAGAGTAATGATGAGAGAGAGAGAAAGACAGAGACCGTGAGAAGCACAGGGGGTTGGAGAAAGAAAGAGAGGTATTAGGAGCCCTGCAGAGAAATGGAGAATGAAAAAAAAAAAGGGGCAGGGAGCAGCACAAAGGGTCAGAGAGAGTAAGAGATGAACAGGAAGAAGGACGGGGACAGTGAGATACAGAATGAAAAAAAACAGTGACAGTGAGCAAGACAGAGGGTTAGAGAGAGAAAGAGAAGGAAGGAAGGAAGGAAGGGGAGAGATAGGAAGGCACATACAGGTGCAGAGAGGAAAAGAACGCCAGGAAACAGGCCAGAGAAATTGTGGGGAAAAAGAGACGAATGCAGATCAGGGCAAAGAGATGGAAAAGGAAAAAACAGCAATGGGTGCAGGACAGAGACAGATGAAAAAAAAAGAGAGAAAGGGAGCAGGACAGAAGAATAGAGAGAAAAGGAGAGGTACAGGGAAGTTAAAAAAAAAAAAATCACAGCAGCGTGCGAAAGAGAGGGGGCCAGGAGGGAGGCAGGGAGGGCCTGGGATGCACAAGAGGAGCGACAGGGCCCCGAGGGCCTGGAACTCACCGCAGCTCTCGCTCTCTGCACTGCAGGAGCCTTTGCCAGTTCAGACGCTTCTTTTCCCTTCTCTCCTCCCTTCCACTTCTGTAACTACAGTCGCTTGGCTGTCCTCCACCTAAAAGAATACATGGGTGTCTTATAGCTCTTACAAGATGAGGCTTCCTAAACACTTAGCCTCGTTTGCTCGCGCACTACACAGCCGTACCGCGCTTTGGGTTACGCATACAGACCCTGTGGTGCATGTTGGCGCCATGACCTGCTGCGGACTACAAAGAAGGATCCTTCCTCACCCAGAGAGGCAGACTCTCTCTTGCCTGCAGCGGGAAGCAGTTGCCAGCCGGATGGCCTTCGATTTCTTCTTCTTTCCCTTTCTCGGGCCTCTCCAGCTTCAGCCGCGGCAGCTCCTGTCCACAGCCAGTAAGTGCTCCGCCTGTCCCTTTTCACCCCCACACTGCGAGGACAGTGAGGCCAGGCAGAGACAACCCACGCAAGCCTGAGGCGGGTGCAGTCAATGGCATCCCCACGGGAGGAATGGAAAACTGCATCCTCAGCGCAGCCTCTGTGAGAGGGAAAGAAGAAGCAGCAACCATTATTACTGTAAATCGCCTCTGGCCAGACCCCCTGCTTCTGCAGGGGCTTCTGGAGATGCTGTTCTTTCCCCGCGCTGCTGCTAACAGCACCCATGCTAAGGGAGAATCAAGCACATTCGAGGGCCAGCTTGCAGCCTTCACTACAGGGCTTGGGGGAGGTCTGGGGCTACGGGACAGGCTTCAGGGGAAGTGCTGGAGCTGGGGGCAGCTTCACAGGGCAAGCGGAGCCGGGGGAGGCTCAGGGGGAGCTCTGGTGAGTTGGGGAGGTGCCCAGCATCTACATCTGGGGGAGTGTCCGCCTCCTTCCCGTCTTCCCTTCTATCAGCTCTCGGTTAAGTCCCTGGGGCTGCCCGGACCCGGCTCACCTGCAGCGGACCGAGAGCCTACCGCAGCGAGCGGCTTGAAGCTACCCGTCCCGCCACCGCCGGGCGGGCAGCGGGCAGGAGAAACCCCCGCACCCACTGGGGCAGCCATCGGGCAAGAGACATCCGCCGAAGGGGCTCACTCACCTCACCGGTTGCCAGCGCGCCGCCATGCTGCTGCCGGGCAGTGCGCATGCGCAGGACGCCGACGGCGCGCCGGAGGGATCAGAGCCGGCGTGCGATCGCCGGGCTGCAGTACCGCATTTCGGCCACCAGGGGCAGCAGGGAAGGCGGCGGCGGCGCTGCTGCGTACCTGGGCAGCGGCGGCGCTGCAGTACCGGGCTGCGGCCACCAGGCGGCAGCAGCAGGGAGAACCCGCCGGGCACGGGCGGCACCGGTGCTGCAGTCCCGCGCTTTGCGCGCCGAGCGCCCGCCGACACCGCGCACGTGGGGCAGCAGCGGCGTTTCCTTAACGCCGCAGCAACGAACGCGGCGGCATCGCCTCGCAGGCACCGCAGCATCGCATCGCCGTTACCGGCGGACGGCAGCAGTGAGCACGGTCGCGCGCCCCACCGCGCGATGTGGCCAGGCTTATTCCCCGCTGGCAGGTAACTACAGGTCCCAGCGTGTACGTGAGGCCAGTATGAGGAGACTACGCATCCCGGCATGCTGCACAGACCGACATGGCCAACTGGCTGCTCTGTGTCGAAAGACTACATCTCCCGGCATGCCCTGCGGACTACCGTGGCCGACCAGAAACTGGGTACCTGAAGACTATAGCTGCCCGCATGCTGCGGGCTGCTGCTTTCTGTGGGGCTTAACAGAAACTGCGGGGACAGCGTCCCGTACGCCCTCCCCCCACCAGCACCCGCGAGACCCAGCTGGTCCTGTGGAGGCCGGCTCGCAGGGCCGGGATTCCCAGCACCACCACCAGGTCCGGTTCAGGTCCGATGCTTCCCCAGCTGCCCCCCACCTCTCCGGCACCGCCCGCTCCTCCGCACGACCTGGAAGCGCTCTAGCCACCCCCTCACACACACACCCCGGGACCCTCGTCGGGACTTTGCTCGGGATCGCCCTTTTGCAGGGTCCCGACCTGACCCAGGTGCTTCCCCAGCACTACTCCTACCCCACGGTGAACCCCAGCGCTTAGGCAGCCCCGCATGTCTATGTGCGGCCTCCCCACTGTCCCGGTGCACCAGCTTTCCCCCATCCCCTTGGGTTTTGGGCCACCCACGACCCCAGTGCCACACCCTCCCCTCCTTGGCCTCAGTGCAGGTCTTCCTGGACCCGGTCGCTGTGTGCCCCAGCCCCCCCTCCCCCTTTGTGTCATCTTCCCTGGGATGTTCCGGGTCACACAGACCCCCCCCCCAGCCCCATTCACCTGTTCTGCGGTTGCAGCCTCAGTCCTGGTCCCAGAATGTAAGGCTCAGCACTGGCTTTGTTGTCCTGGACCTACCCTGATGCGGTGATGTGAACGCCACACTTAACGGCAGTAGCTCAGCAGACCCCAGCCCACAGCTGCAGCCCATGGGACACAGGCATCATCGCCATCAGCCTTGCTGGCCGCCCCAGAGGCTTGTCATCCCCAGCCCCTTGGTCCACAGCTGCATCCCACAGAGAACATGGGCTATTGCCATCAGCCCCACTGGGGACAGCTGTGGCTGCTGGGACAGCAGAGGTGTGCCCCAGCTCCTGAGGGCAGCTTCCCAAAAGCTAAAGGGAGAGTCCTGGGTTGCACAGGAAGGGAAAAGGGGATGAGAACAAACGGAAAACTCCGGAGTGCAATGGTGCGGGGGGAGGAAAACATAGGACTCTGGGGCTGCAGAAAGGTAAAGGGGAGGGCCCTGGGCCACACAGAAAGGAAGATGGATGACCACCAAAAAAGCACCGGGAAAACTCTGGGATGGGAGAAAAGCTAAACAAGAAGTATTGTGGCATACTGTATGACAAACACGGGGCCTTGGGGCACACAGAAAGACTTGGGGGGAACCTAAAATATGAATTCAGAAGTTCAGAGGGCTCCAGGGCACAGCCAAATACAAATTGGTGCGCACCAAAGGGGCTGTGCAGCATGCCATGGGGCGCAGTGTGGCTGATGGGAAGTGGCCTGCAGCCAGCACCAGACCGTATGGAAACTCCCTCTCAGAACCGCTTGTGCTGGCCCCAGCCCTTCACCAGTATCTTGGGTACTGTATGTGGTTGCCCCCTTCAGGGACCCTGGAAGAGGCAGCCTCAGTGACCTTGTTGGGAATTAAGAGCTCACCACCTATATTCCTTCAGATCCTCCTTGCTATTGCCTCTGTCCATGCTTGCCCCAGACCAGACAGCCCAGACCAGCCCTTGCCACGCTCTGGCCTCACTCACCCCTCACCTGCCCAACACACAGGGTTGTCCTGCCACTAACTTGCACCAACTCAGCCTAGGGACCCTGTGCCCAAAGCCTGCTTCCAGGCAGACTTGTGTGCCTGCCTCCCCGCAGCTCCAGAGTATCTGCATCTGCAAGAGCAAGGGCGCATGCACAGGCCCAGAATGGGGAGTAATCTTGGGTTCCATTATTGTATTTTACTATTGTTTGTGTGCTATTCCCACGCAGACCTTCATATGTGCATACCTAACCCAAAAATCTCTTAGCCCTTAGCAACTTCAGTCACTCATAGCACTTAGGTTTTTCCCACCTCTCAAACCTTACTTGCTCTTTCCTTTCTTGTTGTTACACCTCCTTGGCCCTTTCTGTACATTCTTCCTTAAAACAACATGACTGAAATTAACAAAATGGGTCAAGCAGCTGCTCTTCAAGCTGACGGCTCTGAGAGGATTATCCTACAAATGAATCAAACTACTAAGGTCATTGGACAATTCTAGTTTTAGAGCATTTTTCCAAAGCTTTAACTGTGGGTCCCTGCTAGGTTATGTGATAAAAAGCTTGTCTCCATAAACTCAAAGTCACACAGGTACTATGCCAGGTAAGGCACCCCAGTGACTCAGCCAGAGAAACAGAGCCCCCTCCTGTCCTGGCTCCTCCCAGAGCTGTCCCTGTAGAGCCATCAGCCCCGTGGTATGGGGTGACACTCACCATGATGAGTAGCTGGGAGATGCTTTCTGGATCACCATACAGACTGAGGAAGGTTACTGCCTAAGGATATGGGACCTGTTATAGGATGCAAGGGAAGAGCATTTGGGGACTGCACAGGATGTACTATGGTATGTTTACTGGAGGAACCAAAGGTGGGGAAGGGGAAGTATCAGAGTAGTTTGCGGAGGAACAAGCATGGGAAAATAGAGGGACAAGGGGATAAAAAGGGCTGGTGGCATCCAAATAGGTTGCTGGTCAGTAGGATTGTCTGGCTGTGCCCTGCGCCTGATCAGCATAGTCTGTCTTGTCTTCTCATTAAGCTCCATCTCTAGGTATTTTCGTGAGTGAAAGGTTCTCTGTTTTTGTGTGCGTGTGTGTGTGTAGGTTTGAGTGCCTGCAACTTAAGTCATATTACAGGTTATAGGGGCCCACGTGTCTGTGGTGCCAGCAGCTGGAGAGACCCAAATAAGGGAAATCAAGTGCCAGCAACTACAGTCAGAGCCATAAGGTCATAAGGACCTTTGCCAGCTGGTGGCAACAACTGGAGCAAGTGAGGGTGTGTATGTCAGTGTGTGGTCACTAGCAAATACCAAGCCAGATTAGCCAGTGAGTAGGTCGAGTGGCTTGGGAGCCAGGTACATATGTATGTCTAAAAGGGTGAGGCACCTGGAGGAGCTGGCTATCACTGGGACCAGGACACTTGTTTGCATGGGTTTGCATCTCTGTGCAGGAAGAAAGCGGGGAGAGCAAGAATCCAGTGCCAGCTGCTGGATAGACTGTGTGTCTAAGCACTGTTGCTTGAGGGATCCACAGTGAGAGGGAGACCTGTGTCAGCAACTGGAGTGGGACTGTGAGCTTCAGGGGCTCATGTGCCCAGGTGCCAGCAGCTGGGGAGACCTGGGATCTGGGGACCAGCTACTGGATAAACTGTGTCTAAGGCCAGCTGCTGGCAGATTGACAGAGTGTGTTTGTGTGTGTGAATGAGGGGGGGACCGGAGACCCAGGCTCGAGCTACAGGGCAGACTGAGTGTCTAAGCCCAGCTACTGGAGGGACTCACCTTCTACGTATGCTATATATTTCCCGCTAACTGGGGGAAAGGTCCTGATCAGGGCCTTCATCCTGATCAGCCAGGGAGGGGAACAAGATGAGGCCATTAGTGCTACTTGCATTTTTATGAGTGCTGAATGTCGCTGCACATGTTGATCTGTGTGGCTGGCATATGTACGTTGCATTTGTGTGTTTGCTTGTGCCTGGGAACACATGGCCAGCCCCACTACTAGCTGGATCCAGAGGCATGGAGCTGCAGCAGTTCAGCAGCTCCCTGACACCAGGGAATTAACCTAGGTGTTTGTGACTCCCTCCAGAAGGTTTGCCATTTGCACCCCACCCCATAGCCTGGGGTAGAAAGGGCTGCCAGGCCTTTAACCAGGAAAGAGATTTGTGCTGCTGGCCACAGTCCTCAAGCCACAAAAGGCACTAACCTCATTGGGATTATCATTTTGCCCAGAGACTTTTTGCCCAATGTTGTGCTGGTGAAAGCAGGCAGGTGGAAACTTATGTGTGGTGTTTCCAAGCTAAATGAGCAGAGGAGCAGAGGAAATTTGAGGTGGTTGTGCTGGCTAAACCACTTAAATATATGCTTGTGGGTGTTTGCTACAGTCCTAAGATGTCAGTATTGCTGGGAATCAGAAATGTAGGCCTGGTCCCTGAGGGACAGATATGTGAACACGGTTAGGTTTCCAAATGTGCAGATAAGCGCTTGCTATTTCTGAATGGTCTTTGCCCATAGGTTTTGGTTGAGGGGGTCCATTACCCTGTTAGGGATAGCTGACTGTGCTTTGCTTTAACACAGTGCTCTGGGGCACAAAGGCCACCCTCCTGTTAAAGTGCTGAATACAACTTTGGTGGCTGCAACTGCTGTAAATTAGTTAGATCTTGTATCTTGCTCTTTTCACTGTCTCTCAGTGTTTAAAATAACAGTATCAGGAACAAAAGTGCAACAGACACTTCCTCTCCTACCACCAACAGACAGCTGTCTAACAGCATCTTAAGTGAGAGATACATTTATGCAGACAATTTTTTAAAAATGTGCCTTCTTCCACCACTGAAGCCTAACTTATGCATGTGTGAGGGAGAGGTGTCTTTCCTACATATATATTTACCTTTTTTACTTTTACAGTTAAGATCCTTTCTGACACTGTTTATTCCCTGTTCCTTTAAGTCACTTAGTTCTTTTACCACAAAGTGATAAGCCCATGTGACAGCTTAATCAGGTAGCTTTTCTCTGCTCATTTTCTTTTCTTTATTGGTGTTGCTCTGGCTCCCTGATGAAGATCTTCAAAAACATATGCATTGAGTATTTTCAAAACAGGAACTATCACCCTATAGCTTGCCAGTTTCCCCTAGTGTCACTGCTGCTGTCTCTTAGGAAAACGACTGATTTTACTTGCTGTTTCTATTAACCCCCTTGTATTTCACATGCAAATACATAAACCACAGACCTGAGTGGAACGTAAACCCTTTCCACCAAAGCATTGCATTAATCACTAGCTTTCTTCTCCTGCAGTCACTCAGCCCACTGGTTCTGGGCAGTTAGACCACATTCTTTTACCAGTAGGTGATGTGAATTTTCAGCCTGCTTTCACCATAACCACCTTACTGTTATTGTCATGTGGGGGCTAAGCAGAATACTAGTGTCTGCACATTGCTGACTCTGCAGAACACAGCTGACCTGCTTACAAGAAGCAGGGTTGTCTTAATACCCTAACTTAGCCCTACAAAGAATCTTTCCCTCTTCTTTCATCTATCTTTAGTTCCCACAGACCTTCATTATGAAGTTTTCAGTCGATTGCTGTTGACATATACTTGAATTCAAATATTTGTGCTATTCATAGTGAAATGCTCCTTCAGCTAAATGCTTGGCTGTGTCAGGGCTCCTTTGATCAAACTGAATAAAAGACTTGACCAGGTATTCTGCATAGCCCCAGGTCATACAAAGGAATTCACCAGTGCAGGCACCACATGGAGTATGCAGCGTAGATCATGTCCAGGGTTCCAGCAGACAGAAGGAAAGATTCTGCCAGGGCATGACTTGATCTGTCTTTAGAAGCCTTTAAGGGCATCATCTAAGTGGAAGGCAGAGACAGGTAGATAAGTGTATGTCCTGGTTTCGTCTGGGATAGAGTTAATTTTCTTCTTAGTAGCTGGTACAGTGTTGTGTTTTGGATTTAGTATGAGAATAATGTTGATGACACACTGATGTTTTAGTTGTTGCTAAGTAGCGCTTACACTAGTCAAGGACTTTTCGGCTTCCCATGCTCTACCGACTGAGCAGGCTGGAGGTGCACAAGAAGCTGGGAGGGGGCACAGCCAGGACAGCTGACCC